CTCAGTCACATATCCTTATTTTCTCTTGTAAAAAGTTATGTCCATATTTTGGGAAGCCAGATAAAACTGGTATGAAAATTCTAAAGAAAACTGGCCAAGTTTGATGTTAACTTGCAGAAAATCAAAACTAAAAGTTTTCCTCAAAGACAGCTGCTCTAAACAACAGGACATATAGGTCAAAAGATGACTGCTCCAAAACTCTTGGGGTTTAGTGATGCAATGTGTACTTCTGCCCTTAACCTAGATATGCACTTCTCATTTGATAAATATAAACATTTTCTGCTGAACTTCCACAAAGGGCAGGACAAACATTTCTGATAGATGTGCTCATGTATTCCGAAATGGAAAAAAACAATTTTAAACTGCTAAGTTCCCAAGGAAACGAGTATCTTGACTCTTACAATCATGCACATGTCAGGAAGTGCCAGTTATAACAGGTCATATACTAATGGTTAATTTCTATTTCCACCTAGAAATGCTGAAGCCTGCTCAGTCACACCATTTCTAGCATATTCCTCATGTTGTTTCCTGTGTCACAACCACAATTAGTGTTACCCACTGCCAAAGCTCTATATCCTCTCAAATGGCTTTTTCCTCTATTAAGGAAACTTCTTAAAGATGGCACCACAACATTCCCGAGTAAAGTCTGACCAGTAAATAGCAGCATTCCCATGACCACAACACGAAAAGCACAACAGTGAAACTGAGTTCCTTTTCATCTCTATAGTACCCTGTTTCACAGATACAAATTTGAAGCCCATTTCCATATCAGAATCTGGAGAGAATTACTGAGATGCTTAATTTGGATTAATTTATTAAACTATAAAACTAAAAATGGATATTCATAACTAAACATCTTATCATATAAATATTTTTAACAGTTTATGTAGTAGTTCTGAATGTAGCAGTTTATGCATTCAATGAGAAAATGAAATATCTATCAATTTACACTTTGAACAAAGACGTTCTAATTACATATTACCTTTTCCTTTGACAGCTAAATCTGCCTTAGACAAATTTGAACCTAGATTTAAAACCAAGCTAGTACCACACTGCTAAAACAATCACCCTCCATCCCCAAAGACATAAGAGTTTATACACAGCAGAGAGCTGGAGGTTAGAACAGCTTCAGGGTCCACACAGCCTTGGGGGGCAGCCCTGAGGCAGGGGAAGGGGCTGAACAGCTCTCAGGAGGCAGGAAGCAGAGGCTCAGGCAGGAGCTGCCACAGCCCCAGCCTCATCAGCTGGTGATGTACTGGGATTTTTTGCTTCCCAAAGGAGCAGCTGGCTACTAGCCACAGCTGCAGACCTCTCAGGCACACATTCTCACCCCACCCCAGCACTGGCAGTTCTTCACTTCCACTCCTTCCCACTGTGAACCACTGCATGGGGACATACCCAAAACACTTTCGACATGGACAGACCTGTGAAACTAGATCCATAGTAATTTTTTTTACTGGCTTCTCAAAGAAGCCCAAGCATACACAAGGGCTAGGGAAGAGAGGCAAGACTGGCATCCCCAACCTGACTTATCACAGGCATGCTAACCACGTATTTAAAGCATCTCTGAACATATCACTTACTGAAGGGACAATAAATTCAAAATTAATACTAGTGGAAGTTAAAAGATAACTCAAGTGCAGTAGTGCAGATTTCAGAGCTCAGTGCAGTTGAAGGTTAATGGAAAACTGCTTTCCTTGGCACTTCATGTGCTTATTGTAAATGGCCAATTTCACCATTTCCTCTGTACTGCCACTTTTCATTTCTTGTTTGAACTTAAAAAACAGGAAAGTAGTCACGAAGTAACAGGAATTACCAGGGGATCAGGGGAAGCGCAGTACTCTAGAAAGACTCAACTTGCTTTTGTGATTAGTGTGCAGTTTAACCTGTGTTCCTATCAGTGCCAGCACACACACAGCTGTCCAACAATGGAAAAACTCCGTGTTCTCATCAGCCACACTTTTCATTGCCATCAAATATTCTGGATGCCAAGAGGTTTTCCATCTAGCATTAACCCAGTGCAATAATATCTCCTGTGAGGTAGAAATCAGACTTTTAGGATTTTTTAACTCAGAAGAGCCTTGGCAAATGTAGCTAAGCATAGACACCCTCCCCACCCTCCCTAAAGAAACACCAACAGATCAAGTGGGAAGGTTTTATCATCAGAAACAGCTGTTACTATTGACAGCTCCAAGGTAACTCTTGCAACAAACAGGTTTGAGTTCAGGGTTTTTTCAGAGATTCCTGCTCAGCTAGAAACATCAGAGCAGCATTGCTCAATCTCATTTAACCCTTTGACAGAGCCGCTCAACCTCACTCCAATGGGCTAGCTGCAGTTTTGACAGAAGTCATTGCCAGCAAGTCCCAATTTTGTTTGCAGCTATCTTCCATTTCAAATGAGCTCATAAGAAACAACTTTAATCTTTTGCGCAGAAGCACACTTAGAGCCCTTGGAGCTCTTGGGGGAAGAAAAGAAAAAAAACAGCATGACAGTAAAACCAAACAAATCTAACAGCCAAATCATATCATCACTTCAGCTTTGGAAGTAAAGCTGAGGAGATGCTGCAGCAGATTTTGCCAAGAGGCTCACGCTGGACTGCCCAGCCTTGAAGTGACCCAAGTGCTCACTCCAGTACTTTACTCGATTTGGCCAGGCAGCCTTCACCCCATCTCACCCTCACATTGGCTCTGACCAAAAGTTAGGACAATCCACGTCACCACCTGGCAAAGAAATGCTCCTTTATTATGCTGGTTTAGCTTTCTGATAGTGGTGGGCTGAATTTGCTTTCTGTAGAGACAGAGCAGCACCAGAGGAGCCAGAGCAAGCTGTTTCTTAGGCTGCATCATGTCACTTCACACTTGCTCCAGTGGGAAGAATGGAAGCATAGCTTTGTTCCTCGTGTAATCAGCTAAGCATGGTTTTTAATTTTTTTTTTTAAAAGACAGAGAAGCTGAGGCTACTTTCAGTTGGCTCTGCAGTAGTTAACCTATGAAAACCTACCTCATGAGTTAAAACCTAACTTGAAGTTTTTCCCTGAGTTTATCCAGAGTTTGAAAACTACATCAAAGGGTTCCCCAAATGACACTTCAGGCAAATAATCGTATGGGCAGCTAAGACTGTGAGCTATACCAGACTCCACCCCTCACCATAAAGGAAAAAACTCAAACCAACAAACAAAATTAAAACTACTCTTCACAGTGTTCCCTTGAACAGTGAAATCCTTCAGGATGTTTCCCTCAGCTTACTAACAAGTAGTGCTGAAGTATTCCTTACAGCACCATGGCAGAGGAGTCCTTCTCATCCCTGTGGTACTTCCACAAGAGTAAGGCAATGAGTCTTCAGCATTTGTCTTACCCCAAGAAAGGAGAGAGCAATCTCAAAATCAATAACTATATGAAAATACATCAGTGTGTCATATCTACAGTGTGTCATGTGCTCAAACTTAACTGTCCAAGAATACTAATTTTATATAATTTGACAGATATTTTTTCTTTCCATCTGCAAAAGACTAACAAAGAGGAATAAGGAGCAAAATCACTAGTTTCTTCCATGCAGTTCTCTCTTCACTACTTGAAAATCACTTTTTCCTTGATTAAACCCCTGAATAGTCTTTAAAAAACCCCACATTTAGGCTAAAGCAACCTGTAAAATAGCCTAGAAGAAGCAAATTAGTATGATGGGATTCTTCTTGCTAAACATGACATTTATAAAGCATTTGTGAGTTTTAAAATGTTGCAACAAAAATATTGGAGAGAAGAAACTAGGCCAAGACATTAATTGCAAGAGTTACTGAAAAAAATCATTGTGCTTATTTTACCATGATAAGAAGATTGTGCAGAAGTTTAGCGGGGAGAATTTCACTTACAATTTCACAATGTCATGTTAGATGAGAAAATCCTGTATCAAATTGCTTTGAAGATCTCAAAAAATTTCGCAATGTCATGTTAGATGAGAGGCATCCAAAAATCCTGTATCAAATTGCTTTGAAGATCTCAAACTAGTTCCTTAGGCAGAGAAAGGTGTTTCAACAAAGAGTTTAAAAAAACTCAACCAAACCAATCCCAGAAAACTGGCTAAGAGCCACTGCTCTTAGAGTTGAACCAGACTAGGAGATAAATGCAGTATTTTTAGATTAAAGGAAAGCAAGCAGATATTATCCCATGAGAAAGTATTCTGGCAGAAATGTAACAGACAATTTAGTGCTTTTTTGTATACAGACTGTAAAATCACCACATAGCAGAGGAGTTGAAAGGAAATTGATACCAATCTTAAAACAACATTAGTTATAAATGCAGAAATGGATATTAAAACCTGTATCAGCTGTGCAGTATAAATCCATAACTGTTATAATTTCCTTGACTTCACATTTTTTCTTTTCTCAAAAGTTTTCAAAGCAGACCAACAGTTTCTAGTGTAGTATCAAACTGATTAAGTAATTACATATTCCAAACAGATTAGAAAAATTACGAATAAGCCACATCTAATTAATTCCACTCTATAATTCCAGATAAAATTACTAATAAAAATACAGAAATGTAAGACCCCATCAACAATGCAGGATTCAATAAATAAAACTGTAACAACTCAGACTTTATTCTGAGTAGCTCAAAATCATATCCACCCCTTAAATACTCTTCCATCCAATATCAGATAACAAAGCAAGGCCATGAAGATTATCTGTTGAAACTACTCTTTCCTACAGAGGCAGAACTTGAAGTACATACTTGAAAGCTACTCAGCCCTGAAAGACTCTCTGACTACAAACATTTAAAAACTCTTTTAAAGAGCATGTGAAGCATGCAGAGGCCACAAAGCCCAGTGTCATTGGTCTGATTCTTTTTCTAGCCAACTAATGCTAGAAGTATAACTTCCACAGGAAAACAGAAACCACTGGAATGGAAACACAAAATTTAGTATCAGTATGTTAATATTTTCTGAAGCCCTTACTGAGAAGAGTTCAAACAATTAAAGCCAAAATTGATGAGCTGTAAGTGTTTACCTCAGACTGCAGGTGCTGGATGACAACTGTTAATGCTTCAAACTTCTGGTTACTGGATGTCAGGAATTTTTTCAGCTGCAGGATGATTCCACTTTGGGTCTCACATTTTGTTTTGTACTGTATCAACTCGGCTGCTTTAGTGCCAGGTGAACGTGCATCTGTGGAAGCTTGAGTCCGTACGCATGAGCTCTTGGCACTCCGCTGCTTGCCCTTGTCAACTAAGAAAGCAACAACAATGAATCAATATGCATTTCATGCTGAAATCTCACCACAATGTAAAGGACAGGTGCAAAAGAAAGTAGTTATAAATTCCTACAAACACTTGCTGAAATACTAACTAGGAGAAAGGGTTATTTCAGTAGCATTGCAGAGCAGGTACTATCAATTTGTTAATTCCTAACACCATAACCTTGGATACCATGTTCTGTACTTCATCCTCACCTTCATGTGTTCTGTGGCATACTTTTCAACATACTCTTCACACTGGGCTTTGGAAAAATACTTTTATAAAATGCAAGACATCTGTCCAGCTATCTATTCAGTAACTTATTTCTAACACAAGAGTGGTCCTCTCTTGTGTGCAACACAGAATTCATATTTCCTGCACTCTAACGTACTGCTGAAGACAAAACCATTTTCTCTACATTTCCCTTGTTATTCTTCTTCCTTTTAAAATTTTAATTGCAAAAACTCCCCTCCCTGCAGCTGAGGCCTGAGCTTTATTAACTAGAAGTCTTGCAGCATTTCTTAGTGCTAGCAATTTTCAGTCACAAGGATAAGACTTTAAGAAAGCTCTAAAATGTAATAGATTTCAGTATATATTCACAGTCCTGAAATTACACTATTGATTTAATATTCTTAGTTTTGTGGCAACCTCGATGCTTTCACAGTACACAATCACCTCACATCAGAGGAAAACAGATTACATAAATCAGCACTTGACTCATAAACACTGTATTTTCAGGTTTCTCTGCTGCCTTCAGACTGGAATGGGAGTACAGTACTGTTGTGCATATAGGGCCAGTCTTCCCCCCTTGATCACAAAGGGAATGAGCAAACAGTTTTGCAATGAAAGGCTGATGCAATAGATAAATAACCCTTGGCAATTTAATGAAGACATCTAAGCAGATTACTTTGTACAGTTTTAACTTAACAAGATTTCTTCATGATAGAGTGAAAAAACCTGAGAGGTGAGATCTGGATAAAAGAAAGATAGGAACATGCAGAAAAAAAAAACAGGTAACAAACTAAGCAACAAGACTCAATCTTTTCTGAATCTCAAGCACCTGGTTTGAAGATTGTCAAATGACCCTAGAATCATCCCAGCAGTGTAAGGTTCAATCTCACAACTGGAGAAAGTATTAAGAACAAAAGCTTTGATTCTCAGTTACTGTTAGTCTGACTGACATATTGTATTAATACATCAGCCTTCCACAGCCTGCATTTGTTTTTAAAGTCCTTGAAAATGGTTTTCCTGTTCAAAATACTAAGGTCCTCTATGCTATCCTTACTGAGCCTGGTATAAAGTGCCTCGCAAGCCTATTAATTTTCCAGATAAATCCACTCTGGGCAAGAATTTATACATATTGTGCTTTATAATGTTCAAATGCCATTGTATTCTTGGAGATTTCCCTACACTTCTGCTCAGAGATGCAGACTGTTAAAGACTGTTAAAATTAGAAACATACCATTGTGCAGTTTAATATTAGAGCTATTAAAAGGTGTACCAACCCAAATCAAAATATAAATTTGTAGGACAAAAGAATCGAGCTTGGCTGCCAGTTCCAGTTATTTTTACCACTATTTAACTAACATGACCACTTCTTTTCTCACTGTGTAACAACGTCTTTTAAGTAGACACTTTTACACAAATGCCTGTTCACATCTGAGAGCAACCATGTCAAAATTTCCAGCAATCTTATGGACGATATTGTGTGTAGAAAATTACTGGTTACCTTCTGAAGCTCCTTCAAAAATCACAACAAATAATAATCAAGGTGGGGGGAAGAGCAGGGACGAGAGAATAAACATGTAGAAGTCAGTTCTTCCCTTCCCTACCGCCTTACATACTCCTACTCTCCCATATATTCCACCTCCCTTCCTGAATTCTTCACTTATGACAAATAGAGAACTAGAGCATTATCCTTGATGTAAGAGTATAAGGTAAATTCACTGATACAGATGCTAGTATCATAATTTAATTAAACATTTGAAATCAGTTTTACAACCATCCCTAGGACACTGACAGAGCTGTGTTAAATCTGAACAATTGCAGACAATTTTTACGCTAGGGAAAAATTACATCACACAGTTAGTTACCTAATGAAGAAGTTTCATTTAAATACAGTGATACAACAGCTAACCACAAATGACAAAAGGCTCCAAATATCTATTGTTTCCAGTTCAGCCAGCCCTTATCACATTGCCAGTTTCATACCACTGCTTTTATCCTGCTGCCCAGACCACCAAGTATTTTCCAAGAAGCTCATTCAAACATCTAACCAAGCCAGCCCCTGATACTACACTAAAAAAAGCTGAACAAAAAACATGCATGAAGTGAAACTCAGTGACATTCCTGTTGGCAATTTTATCATAGACGTGTGCTATACACAGCCACTTCAAATGCTGAAAAGCATGAGCCCTCTGTAGCATGAACTGCCTCTACAGATTAACACCACTGACACTACGATGTTTATTTATGGCCTACGTACCTCTGGGCAATGACAGATCGTTTCCAGATTTGTATAGAAGGCATGCTGTGGTGTCAAAACAAAAGCCATGCTTTCATTAAGACAAAAGCATCATGAGTCTGATTACTGACACCACCACATCAATGGCAGAGTCTAATTTAAAGATGGTATTGGTCAACAGCCCAAGCCCTTCTCACTTGGGCCTGGTCACCTGCCACGTCTATACAGTCAGACTTGTAACACAGAACAATTTCCTCCTTTAAATCAGGTTCTAGACACCTCTCCAGCAGGCTCAAAACCCCTTTACCCAATGGAAAGATTGGTAGTTGGAAAGCTTGGTTTTAGAAGACAGAAAATCAGATTTTCAAGTACTGCATGTAGTACAGTAACTGGACAGAATCGCCATCCAAAGTCCTATCCTTCACCAGTAAAGAAAAAAACAATAGCAGTGATTTTGCAAAGACTAAGCCTTTTGATGATTGAATCATTCACTGAAGATATGATCTGGATCTTGGAAAAGGTCCAGAAATCCTCTCACTCCCACAACAGCCATTATACGGATGGCACAGCAGTCTCCAGTTCACTGGGGAGAGCATTAGACCCCACTCCAAGCTTCTCCATGAAGCAAACTGCTTCTCATGCATAGCATCTCTAGTTAACAGCCATTCAGAGGCAAGAAATACACAACTGTCAGTACATAGGGTGTGTTCCATAAAGTTACATTTAGATGCTGGGGTTCTGCCCAGTACTTGGCACAGTATTTGTCTGGCTGGCTACCTCAGAGCTTGCATTGTGCTACTGGTTTCCTGAGCTTCCTATCTTGTGCATTGTTGCTGGAGTACCAGAAAAATCTCTAACACACTTTTTTGAATTGCAGAAACAAATCAAAGCCTTCCTTTGCATATCATGTACTAGGAAGCTATATGTAGTAGTATTAGTATCTACACTAACTACAAATTATTTTAAGCAAGACATTCAATTTCTAAAAACAATTACATTTCTTAAAAGCATCCAAGATAAACAAATTTCTTGACAAGCACAAATAGAAATAACCTCACTTCTCTCCCCACACTTACAGTCACAATTGTCTTACCCCCAAGCACCTTCTTTTCATATTCATCATCCAAACTGTTAACTTCCACAGGTCTTTCAAAACCCATATGCGTCTGGTGTAAGCATTTTTCAAAGAAAAATCCTTGCTCAACATTTTCTCTCGTGGGAAGATGCAGGCTAGTAAAAACTTTCTGCCTCTCCTCCATTTTCTGGAAAGCCTTGTCTACACATGTTAAATTGGTGCTCACTTCTTTGATCAGTAACACCAGATCAGCCTGAGTATTTAATCGAGCTTCCATTTCTTCTCTTACTCGCTGGATTTCCTCAAGCACAGCTCTTATATCCAAGTGACTGGACTTCACCTCTGCTTTGAGATCTTCTTTCACCTGTTGCTGGCTCCTCTGCAATGCTAACACAGTTCTGATTTCCTTCTGAGACATTTCCACATCATGCTTTAGTGCCTTCTGCCCAGCCTGCATTGCCTCCTGGCTAGCTTTCACTTCTGCCAACAGAGCAGCGATGCACTCCATCCCGATCCCACGGGAGTCGCAGGACCTCTTCCAGTGTCACAGCTTCCACACAGTCAGGGACATCTGTGAGCCAGTATCAGATTTCCCCTGATGGCAAGTGAGCAAGCACACAGCCCTTGGTATGGTGTCCTACCACAATTTACAGCACCCTGCAGTGAAGGCACTTGGTAAAAGTCTCGTACAAGGTGAGCCAAAGGTACTACATGAAAGACTTCAACAGGCAGGGCTGTAGTCAGAGCTCCTTCTCAGTACTCAGCCAGAGCACTAATCAGTTTAATTGGCAGATTATGCCACACCTGAATTTTTTAAAATCTTTCGCTGACATCATTGTACGTGGGACGTCACCCCGAAAGCCACTCCCAACAGTCACTTGATCTGTGCATCAATCAAAGTACGGCTGGGCATCAGTAACCAGGTTTGTTGCAATGCAGCCAAACACTCTGTGAGAACGCACTGGCCCTTCCTTTACGACACAAAGGCTCAAAGGAAGCCTGAAGTGCCTGCAGGAGCTGAAAGCCAAGCAGTTCAACAGTGTGTATTTATTTCAATTGTATATTCAACAAGGTGATTATGCACCTATCCTGCTAATGTGAGGTTCAGGTGTACATCTGTGGACACGTTTGATAATACCCCACTCTCACTGAGCGCTCCCCTTATTCACACAGCAAGCAACACCCTTCTGGCAATCTCTGGAAGAACACAGTTCCTGAGGAAACCCGCTAATCCACAAACAATAAAGGCTTATCACAGCAATATGGGGAAAATTACTAATGAGATATTTTTGCCATGTTAAGGAGGCCAAGCCTTTTAGCTACCAGGTCTGAGTGTTAACTTTTCTCTGGAAAAGCTAAGGCTTCTTATTTTTAAGCATGAAACTCTTAATAAGTCTAGGCTCCATGTGAAAACAGATAGATTAATGGCACCAGGCTGTTGCCTGTTGGCTGTTATACAGCAGTTTAATTAAGCTGGATTCAATTTGGAAAAAATTACCAATACCTTGTAGGTCTTGGTCTACAGAAGGGGTCAGTCTCTGCTTTCAAAGAGGCGAGAAAGTACTCAGTACAACACCTAGTAGAACAGAACCCAGACCACACAAGCTGGAGCTCAGGAGAACTTATACACCACACTTTTGGCCCTGTCGTGACTCCAGGGTGCTTTAAGAGGCAGTGGTGATCCCAGAGCACAAACCCATGTTATCTGTCAGTAACTGCAATAACTCCCCTCAGCATTGTTTTGGGCTGGAAAGCATCACTAGGAACGCCAATAGCCCATGCATGTAGAGATCCACAATTTCCCAATCACCACAATGTTGCTGGCCAAAAGGCCAATCTGGGGACTCCTGCCTCCAGTGAAAGTTTACTGCTGGTTTGCCAGTGCTCCTCCTACACTAGCCCAGGCACACTAATGGGACCAGGAAGGTATCAGAGATGCACCCTCCGCATAGAGCACCTCATAGCTTGCAGGTATTCCCTGACTCTTTTGCTATGACAGCCCCTGGTAGACACAAAGCTGATGCTGGAGGTTTTTTCCAAGTCACTTTATCACCTGCCAGAAGGCCAGACACGGATTTTCTGATGGGATTTCCCAGCACAGCTACAGGCCACAGGTATAATTTCTTCCCCTTTTGGCTCCTTGCACCATTCCTAGCTGAATAGCTATCCCAAGAGCTCCCAAGCATTATTATTATTCACAGTCACCACTAAAGACTAGCACATGGCTTGCAGAAGCCCAGTCTGAAGCCTGAATCCACGTAACATGTTTGACAAAAGATTTCTGTAGGTGAAGAGAGCCAAGTAAGAGCAGTAGCAGTACTTCTGCACCCCCTGACCATCAGCTGCAGTAATTCAGTTATGCAGTGTAATTTTCACTCCACTCTTCACCATACCTTAGCGGTTTCTAAAAATCTCACTTGGTGAACCATTTGCAAAGACCTTGTCAGACAGCAAAATCCAACTGAAATTACTTCCCCTAGTTCTGTTGTAATAAAACTGGAAAACAGGTGAAAGGGAGGGTATTCTCAGACTCATGGATGTAACCTCCAAGATCTAAGTATTCCTAGAAACTTTAGGCAGCTAACGTGAATCCTGTGTTTATACCAAGATAAATATCTCAAGTGCCATCATGCATAATTTCACTTTCTGATTCTTTTAAAGGTATAGCTACACAAAGAGTGATTCCATGAAGCAGTGATTTCAGCTGAGTTAACAAAAAACCAAACCAAAAAATCAAAACCAAACCAAAACACCCACAACAAAAACAAATGTTTGGGGGTAAAAAAAATTCTCCCACTGATACCCCTTGGTCCCTCTGTAGTGGAACAGGTTCCTGCAGACACTGACTTAGAGCAGAATCCTAACTACAACATCAATGAGTGCTTGAGAGAAGCCTTTCTCTACATAGGCTACATTGAAAGCCTGGCTGATGAAGCTCAGGTGACTAAATTAGGTGCTGTAATTGTCATTTCTGGCCAACATCACCAAATCCAAAAGCTGCAGCTTGTTTTCTACAAGTGTGAGCACCCACTCTAATTGCCAAATGTTCTCTGCTCTGATGTAATACACTGAAAAAAACCTGTTCTTGGAAGCTGGACTCTTGCTCTATATGAATACATTAATTCTATCCAGAATGCAGTCAATGTGTTTGGTATCTTCCTCACTTAAACTAAGATGGGCTGATTGATCATAAGGAATCTTTGTAAAGATCACCCTCTTGTCATAGATTTCAGACAGATTTCTTTTACTTTTCTCCACTCTGGAAGAAACTCTTTAAAGTCTTATCTAAAATTAAATTTATAGATTAATATTACAAAGCAAATTTTAAGGCCATGGAAGTTGCTGCTACTCTGAATTTTACAACCTGTCTCTCAATAGGAATACTTGATAGCCAACAACAGATTGAGAACATTTTATGAATGTACAAGTTTCAGAACCTAGAATTCATTGTCTCAGAATTACCTATTTCACCTGCTGTACATCAGCTGTCTCTATCTTTGATGCATCTCAAGTGTGTTAACAGTTTTTCCTGTTTAGGAAACTCCTGATTTCATAGACTAACATCAACCTCTGTTGAGGATTTCCTCTCAATTGTACATTAAGAATTAGGGCAGAACAAAAAAGGACTTATTTTATTTAAATTAAATCTGGTGTATTTTGTGTGAGATACGTTTGAGGTTTTTTGGGGGTGTCTTTTGTTTTGTTTTTAAGGTGGTTTTTTTTTTGCATTACAGAGACACAAAAATCTTTTAGACAATTGCCAACCCGCAAACACAAAGCACCCCTATTTCTACAGCTCTAATTATGCCTTCCTCCCATTACAATGCGTAGAAGTTATTTAAGCAATGCAACAGGAAGACTGATTTGCCATTTAATCTCATGGCTGTAATTTTAAAGTTTGCCTTGTGACAAGCTATGCCCATTAGGAGAAGACAACTTAAGAACATCCATGCAAATAAGGAAGCTGCTGGGTTTATTCTGCAGCAGTACATACATCATGGTTGAGAAGACCTGAAAATTCAGCTAGCTGTAAATTACCACCTTAAATTCTTCCAAAACTCCTGCTCTGGGCTATAATATAAGCCAGGTTGGACAAATACACAAGAATAGCAGTCACAAAACTAAATTAATGGTGTCTGCAGACGGCTTGGCAAGGCTGGACTTGGATGGAAGTCTTCAAACCCCCCAGGCCCTTCACAGCTTGGTCAACTGTAATTTTTGCCTGCATCCATCTTGGCAAGTGGTGAACACACACCTTCCTCCTGTGCCTCTCACAGTCCAGGCTGGTGATTGTACAAAGACAGACTCCTGAAGAAGTGATGTTTTGTTTCTAAGCTCTGCCTCAGGCCTGTCTGTGTAAGCTGGTGCAGACAGTCCCAACTGGCTCTGTTCACGCTTCAAGCATGACAGTCAGGAGCCAGTTCTAGTTCTCGGCAGAGAGACTTCATTTTTCAGAGCTGTACCTGGATCATCTGCTCAACTAAAATGCTTAAGATGCTGTACCTCAGAAGCTTCTTTATCTGTGGTCTTATCTCAAAACAAATGGGTGAAGAGAAATAACACTTCTTATCTTGCATCTCCCCCTTCATCAACACGATGTGAAGCCCAAGACAATTAAATGCCTCCTAAAGCAGTACAGCAGCTCTCCTTTTCCTCTACTCTAAGCCCTTGAGTTTCCCTTCTTTAATGTCAAGTACTAGCCCATGTCCAGGAACACCAGCTTATTTCAGCTGTCATCAAATCCTTTTCAAGTTGTTCTGAAGAAACCAATCAGCCACCAGAGAGCCTTTTAAGAAAGATGCAAGAACTTAACAAAATTTAACTGCAGGTAGGTGATACCTGACCTAGATGCTTAAACTGACTCAGCAGGAGTAAAACACACAGCAGAAATCTCTCTGCCTTTTTTTTTTTTCCAGGGGTACAAAGGCTCTTCAGCATGTATTTTTTAAATGCTGTACAGCCTGGAGGGGGAGTGCAGAGCCATCACATATTACTCAGTGCCTGCATCCTGGCATTCAGTTTGAAGTAGTGTTCCGGAAGTCTCTGTCTATCCTCACCCACTGACTTTATTACAGCACTGCCGTGTAGCCTCAGTGCAATATTTTAAATCTATCCCTTTTCATTCCCCGTTTCCAGCCAGAACTGGATATTATCTTTATACACACAATAATGAAAAGGAAAGGGAAACCTCAGAAGTATTTATGTTCTTCTAAAATCTCACTATGGTTCCCACAACATGCACCACAGGTGTGCTTTAACAGAAAACTAGTTTAAATAGTTGGGCTTTGAACACCTACTACAGAAAATGATTTTGCCTCTGCATTCACAATGTATTTTGTCAAGTTTACAGGAACTGTAATATGTAGAACTGAATTAAGTCTTCATAGCTCAGTTGGTTAGAGCATGGTTCTAATGATAGGGCTGTGGGCTCAATCCCTCTATGGCCATTCACTTGGGAGCTGCAGTCAATGACCCTTGTGAGTCCTTTCCACCTCAGAATATTCTGCATGACTGTGTGATCTAGCTAGTAAATAG